CCAAACCATCCGGCCAAGAAAAAAACAGGTTGGCTCCACTACACAGTCATTCTTGTGTTATGGAAGAGAAGCTCGTGACATCATCTCAATGTTCAGGAGTGACTTCTGATCAAAGTCGTGGTTTATTTATTTACCAGTTAGGAAACTACAGAATTCTCAGCCACAGAACTGCAGTGTCTCACCAAACTACAAGCCTCAGGATGTAACCATTGCAATTAAAGAGGAATCATTGCACTTTAATTGTGTAGTGTGAAATGGCACAGGGATGCTTGCCTAAGGCCACCTGGAAAGCACTGTCTACTTTTCCAAAGGCACAGAACACCATTCAGCAAACAGTAACCAGGTTGGGTTCTTGTAGGTTTTTTCGGGCTATATGGCCATGTTCTAGAGACATTCTCTCCTGACGTTTCGCCTGCATCTATGGCAAGCATCCTCACAACCTCTGAAGATGCTTGCCATAGATGCAGGTGAAACGTCAGGAGAGAATGCCTCTCGAACAGAGGTCCTCAAATCTTTTAAACAGAGGGCGAGGACACAATCCCTCAAACTGTTGGATGGCCGGATTATAATTTGAAAAAAGGATGAATGAATTCCTATGCACACTGCACATATCTTATTTGTAGTGCAAAAAACACTTTAAAACAATACAATATTTAAAATGAAGAACAATTTGAGCAAATATAAACTTATTAGTATTTCAATGGGAAGTGTGGGCATGCTTTTGGCTAATGAGATAGGAGTGTTGTTGCTGTTGTTATTGTGTGCTTTCAAGTCATTTCAGACTTAGGTTGACCCTGAGCGAGGACCGAGTAAATGAGCTTGGAGGGCTGTATCCAGCCCTCGGGCCTTAGTTTGAGGACCCCTGCTCTAGAACATGGCCATATAGCCCCAAAAAACCTAAAACAACCCAGTGATTCTGGCCATGAAAGCCTTCGACAATACAGTAACCAGGTTGTATCTTGGCTCAAGGCAAGATACCCAAAAAGAAAAAGAAAAAACAAGCAAAAAAAAAAAGAAGAACAAGGATGTTCAATGAAAGGAGCATCTTAAATAATTGAACTCTTCCCTCCTTCTGTCAGACTCCCACATGCAGCAGAGGCTCACAGCATTTTTGGGTGGCTGGCAGATGCTTGCATATCTATAGGTGGAGTCATTGCAAGATCAAACTGGCTAGCCTCATTCTGTCTTTCTCTGGGTCTTTAATCTCTCGAAGGCATGGAATGAGGTTTGAAGAATCTTGATTTAAAACTGAAAGAAGAGGAGGGGACTAGTTGTAGTTTTCCTGTTATAGGAGATGATTTGGTTTGCTGTAAGACGATGACACAAGTCTCTTCCCATACTCAGATTCCTCTGGCCCATAAATTACTTGAGCACAAATCACATTAATTTATCAAGATACTTTAAAGAGGAAAAAGTTAGAAATAACTTGAATTTGCAAATACGAACAAAAATATACAAGGAAGGCAGGAATAGCTTTCAGTGTAGTTCAGGTGGATTTCCAGGTTTGCCACTGACTCAAAGTAATGGATGTAGTTACCAGTCAAAACAATGGGAAAGAGCGATGAGGATACTGTCTCCCAAATAATGCCCCAACTGAAAATAATATTTCTGCAGTTTTCAAATTTCTAGTTTACAGAGAAAAACTGTAAATCGTTCACATACTGTATCCAATTCTGGGCACCACAATGGAAGAAAGATATTGACAAACTGGAATGTGTCCAGAGGAGGGCGACTAAAATGATCAAGGGTCTGGAGAACAAGCCCTATGAGGAGCGGCTTAAGGAGATGGGCATGTTTAGCCTTAAGAGAAGGTTGAGAGGAGATATGATAGCCATGTATAAATATGTGAGAGGAAGTCACAGGGAGGAGGGAGCAAGCTTGTTTTCTGCTTCCCTGGGACTAGGACATGGAACAATGGCTTCAAACTACAAGAAAGGAGATTCCATCTGAACATTAGGAAGAACTTCCTGACTGTGAGAGCCGTTCAGCAGTGGAACTCTCTGCCGGAGTGTGGTGGAGGCTCCTTCTTTGGAAGCTTTTAAACAGAGGCTGGATGGCCATCTGTCAGGGGCTTTGAATGCAATATTCCTGCTTCTTGGCAGGGGGTTGGACTGGATGGCCCATGAGGTCTCTTCCAACTCTAGGATTCTATTATTCTATCTAAAAGTTTGCTAATAACTTTGCTTAACATTTTTTTCTTGGATGTATCAAAATGCTTGACTTTAATTTCAAGTTACAGCAATGCCAGAAATGTGGGGTGGAAGGGAAATGTTTTTGGGGCAGAATTCTGACAGGTCAATGTCTTCATTGTGCAGATGTCCTTTCACCCTAGACTTCCACTGAAAACAGTACTAATGAAATCTCCTAGTCCGACATGTAAAAGCTCCCATGCAACTTTGCCTCGAAGACACAGGTTTTTAATTCCAGATCATACTGAGAAATTTTTCTTCTCTTGCAAAAGTTGGGCTGCATATAGATAACTTTATTTTTCTGCTCAGTTGATGCACTTGTGAATATCTAATGGCTTTCATACCAGCTCAGGTACATCCAACTGTATTGCTGGAAGCATAATGAAATATATTATTGCAGTCTTAGATCATCTAATTAAGCTTCAGATAGAGAAAATAGCATGTTGAGAAATTATTGTGAACATTGTTCACCTAGATCAAAGCTGTCAAGAATAATTTTAATTAAAAAAATCCCAAATCAAAGTGCTCTCGTGTTTACATCTTGTTTGGACAGAACAGAAATTCTACACTAAGTTGGTTTCTGGAGACAAGTTTTTACAGCTTGAGTCTCCCTCATCCAAACTCTCGAAATCGGAGATCCACACGAGGCTAAGATAGTTACACCTTTGCTTTCTGATGGGAAAATGTACACAAACTTTGTTTCATACACAAAGTTATTTCAAATTTTATTGTATAAAATTGCATTCAGGCTATGTGTATCAAGATATATATGAAAAGTATGGGAATTTTGTAATTAGATTTGAATCACATATCCAAGATATCTAATTATGTATGTATGTGCAAATCCAGGTATTCCAACCCCCCTCCCCTTAAAGAAAATCCAAAGGATTTCAGATAAGGGACTGTCAACCTGTATTAGCATGTTCCACAGAAGTAACCTTTGTAATATTTCCATTCAGACGCAAGGTGGCACAGTGGTGCAATTAAACCCTGCTTTTCCACTCATAGCTTCACTTTGGTAGAAGGCAGTATTTCATAAAAACAGAGATTTGAAACCTGCTGTAAGTTTACACCTTCTCACCTTCTAACTGGAGGTATCTCCAATGGGTGTTTTGGATCCTTTTATAATTGTCGAAATGGCTAGTCCAGTTTTGGGGTTCTCTTAAGCAAGATCCCTTTGACCTGTAATCATGTGGCCACTGTTTTCATGTAGACTTCTATGTGAAACAGCTCACGCATGTTCAGCAATAATTCAATACATTTTTAGAGGAGCCAATCAAGTCACACTCCCAAATGTCTTCTAGGAGACAAGTGGAGGGTTATTACCACTGCATTTTAGGTTATGACCATGTGTTTGGGCTTTCCAGGGTGATTTTAGCCCCAGGAAAGTCCATTTCTAAAGGTGAAAGAAACTTCCTGTTTCAGAAAAGCCGCTCTTGGGTCAACATTTCCCAAGAGTTGGCACAAAATGCAGTGGAAATAACCTTCCACATGTATGTGCTGAAGGGGATTTTGGGGTAAATCTATTCTTGAACTTTAGACAGGTAAGACTGTATGACAAACATGAGAAGCCAGGAGGTTCAGGAGGAAAGGCTGGGGACTACCATGCTTTTTTGTTAAATTGTTGGGGCTCCAGACATAGTGGAAATAATAATAATAATAATAATAATAATAATAATAATAATAATATAATAACACTTTATTTGTATCCCGCTACCATCTCCCCAAGGGACTCGGTGCGGCTTACATGAGGCTGAGCCCAAACACAATACAAACAATAATCACAATACAAGCAATTAAAATAAATCATGGACGGTAAACATATAACATTATCAATAAGACAACATACAATTAAAAACTATGGGAAGGCCGAATGTAAAAATTAAATTGGAAGTAGTGCTGAGGCATGGAGGAAAAGGTGATAGTGGCGTTTGTGGAAGACATACGAGCAGACCTAAAAAATATGCCACCTATGTGCATTTGGAAATGCCACCCATGTGCTTTTGGGGACATTATGGAGGAAAATGTTGACTCTAAAAAGGTAAAGGTTTCCCCTTGGCATTAAGTCTAGTCATGTCCAACTCTGGGGGGTGGTACTCATCTCCATTTCCGAGCTGAAGAGCCGGCGTTGTCCGTAGATACCTCCAAGGCTTTGTGGCCAGCATGACTGCATGGAGCAACGTTACCTTCTCACTGAAGCAGCCTATTGATTTACTTACTTTTGCATGTTTTTGAATTGCTAGGATGGTAGAAGCTGGGGCTAACTGCGGAAGCTCACCCCGCTCCCCGGATTCGCCAACCATTCAGTCAGCAAGTTCAGCAGCTCAGCGGTTCAACCCACTACGCCCCCAGGTGGCCCATAAAAATAATCTGGGCCGGTTGGGGAGGGGGAAGATGTCACATGCAGCCTACAAGCTACACTTGGCCCATAGCATACTATATTCAGCTCAAGCATATTGCTGCTTGAAGCAAAATATAAGATGTCCCCTTGCTATTTTTCCATGTACAGTGAAAACTTAGTGATATGTCATACTTAATGGGAATAGGGCAATGTCCTCTACTGCCATTGAAGGTCAAACTCTAGTTTAGATAGGTAAGACTGTATGACAAACATGAGGAGGTTCAGGAGGAAAGTCTGGGGACTACCATGCCTGTTTTCTCTTATCTGCTGCCTAATTCTAGGACCAGCCAAGGTTATAGTTCTGAATGAGATAACGCATAGCATTTTACACACCTGAAGCACTATCAAGCAAAGTTCAATTAGTCCAAGTCAACTTTCATCTCTTCCAAAATAAAACAGAGAACAACAAGGACTGTTTAAGTATTTTATTTCAAACCCCTCTCTCCCACCGACCCTGTCGAACAACCACCCATAGGCCAATAGAACAAACAAAAAAAAACAACCCACAATAGAAATGAGATACAAACAGGAGAGGGGCAAAGTTCTCTCCCATGGTTGACAAAATTTACCCAAAAAGGAGGAAAAAAAGAGAGTTAAAGGAGAAACGTTCCACCCCAACTATGGGGCAAACTTATTCAATACATCCATTTTACAGACAGGACCCTGCAGCAGTTACAAATGCTTTCAAATGAGAAACCAAAAACGTGCCTATTGATACAATATATACACACAAGGCCATTCAGAACTCAGTCTATAAAACAGCCTGACCCCCTCCCCCAAAATGTCTAAACACACCCAAAGTGCATTCATTTTCATATAAAACGTCTTTTCGTCCCTCTCCTGCCAAGCGCAAAACTTTTAAGATTGGCCTGCAAGTCTCAATTATTTTTTGTTTTTACACTTTTATAGTTCTGAAAATAAGTTACAGCAGCTGTTTTAATAAATTAAATACTCACACACATACAAACACACAAAGCATACTCGGAAACTGAGCAAAATCAACATTAAAAAAAAACTGTTAACAGTGCAGTAAGGTATTGAACCAACTTTCCTGGAATATGCAACCTTTCAATTCACACAGGACACTGAAGTTGTGTACCTACACTAGCTTTTCAGTGTTACGACTGAGGTAAACATATTTAATTTCATGTATTCTACCCCCTTTCTCTGATTAAAAAAGACTGGGAGTGGTGAGGCTATAGCATTTTGGGCATTCACTCTGTAAAAGGTGTGACATGCCCCAAATGCAAACTCTATGCTGTCATACAATAAGACATACTGTGTTTTTGCACTACTGTAAGACTTTTTCATTGACTAGTACCCAAAAAACCCTGCAACTGTTTGAAGATGTTCACTGACATTGAAGATAGCTTAAGATGTGAAACAAGAGGCGATCACACAAATATGCTCATGTAGCCCTTTCAGAGGTAAACAAGACTAGATGCAGTGGTTCTGGTCTAGTAGTTTCACTGCCCCACAAACCTATGGAGATCTCAGTAAACCCAGTACCATTTTCAGTGCATAGGATGGTCACAACTCACCAGCTCTGAGTTATGATCAACCAAAAAGGTTGATAAGCTTCTGAGTTCTGTTACTTTCCTGGGACCATGCAGACAAGAGGGATTGCCAGGTGGCTAGTAGTCTACAACATCTAGGCTACAGAAAGGATGAAGCAATGGGTGGCAACAAGATAGCTGAAAAGCTGCAATGAGACAAAAAAATGAAAAAACTTCTTGAAATTTAGGGCAACATTACACAGTTTTACACCGCATTGTGTGGGCTTTAATCTAGCTACTAGGCATGTGCAATCCATGGTTCTAAAGTACTTACAAAACTAAAGTTCTGGTTGTGAAAACTAGGGGGCGCTGGTGTTCTGCTTCTACAGTGTTGCTAAAGTTCTGGTGGTGAAAATTTCAGAACTCTAACAAAACTTTCAAAATTTCATTATTATTTCATTACTGGTGATTTTTATGACAGAACCTATTAGGAACTGCCATTTATAATGAAACTTTGAAAGTTGTGTTAGAGTTCTGAAAGTTTTACCACCAGAATTTTAGCAACACTGTAGAACAGTGGTTCTCAACCTGGGGTCCCCAGATGTTTTTGGCCTTCAACTCCCAGAAATCCTAACAGTTAGTAAACTGGCTGGGATTTCTGGGAGTTGTAGGCCAAAAACATCTGGGGACCCCAGGTTGAGAACCACTGCTGTAGAAGCAAAGCACCAGCGCCCCTAGTTTTCACCACCAGAACTTTAGTTTTGTAAGTACTTTACAACCATGGATTGCACATGCCTACTAGCTACCCTTCCAGGACCAAAACATATACCACAGTAGTAAGATTTACACGAAAGGGATCTCCTTCACTACCTAAAAGACAAAATATCGGGAGGCAGTTGTGAGACTATTGGGAATCATTAGCCTCACAACTTTCGCCTTCTGTTTGAATGCGCAACTGACTTGTGTGTAGATCTTGAGCAAGTTGTACATCCTATCTCAAATGATGCTCTCTGTAGCAACATGGTAACAGTAACTGATCTAACAGGCAATTTGTTTTAAAGGTAACACACTCAAAAGTGCTTGACTGAATAGAAGTTGTCTCATAACAGGCATACCACACATCTTTGCTTGGCACAGTCATATGAATGCAAATGAGAAAAAGCTGAAACATTCAAGGGAAAAGGTGGTCATATAGCATCTCCATGTTGCATGATGGAGAGTTTTGTGAAATTCTGGACAATTAACAAATTAATTTACTTATTTAATTGATGGCAGGTTGACTTGTTTCGTGTATCGTTTTCTAACAGCTGTCCAAGCTACATTTATGTTGACAGTATTCTATTGGATTTCTCTTCTCCTCTAGCACAATGGCATCAAACATGTGGTCCTCTAGGTGTTTTTTGGACTTCAGCTCCCAGAATTCCTGGCCTTTCAACAAGCCCAATAGGGCTTCTGGGAGTTGGAGGCCCAAACATCTGGAACAGAGGATTTTGGAGGCCCAAACATCTCTCTTCTAGTGAATAACATTTGAAATCGATTACATTTTGAAAGTACATATTTCTCTCCATAAGGGAATTCATTCTTTTCTAAACTAAATGAAATCCTCTCATGAGCGCATAGGTTTCCTATAGTGTCTAGCCATTTTAGCCTGCTCATAAAAATAATTATGTCAAGTTGTCAACAACACACATACCTATTATCATTTTTGCGAAATATCAAGTAAATGAGCTGGGGCAGAGTAACAACATGCTAGACACTGGGTTTAAGGACAAGAATAAAAAAACAGTCTGGTTTATGGAGCTTGGTCTGCTCTTTTTCGCCTCAAGTTAGCACCTAGGTTTTTCAAAAATGTCAAAGCAATTAAGAGCAAGACTGATTTAAGATGCACCTGAACCTCATCTCAGGCTTAAAAAGTGATATATAAATCCAGTAAACCCAAAAGCCTATTGCTGTATCTCTATAAAACAACACATGATACTTTTCTGCATTTCTGAGTCACAAATCAACTGCTACTGAGCAATCAACAAAGCCTTCTTTTCCCAATTGAATCCTACATCAAGCACTTATGGAAATACTGTTATTCTTTCATGCAGCCAAGATAGCATCATTAAGGTCAAATAGCACCCCACTTTCCTCCAAGATTGATGCCATCAGGAAGTTATTACTGGCCAGAAGATATTTACCCCTTACTTCCTGTGGTAGATATTGGGAGAGGGAAGAGCATTATTTGTTGAAGTCAAAAGTCAAATATTGAATACAGGGTGTGGAAATTGTGGGAGCTATAATCCAAAACATCTGGAAGGCCAAAGGCACCCCACCTCTAGTTTGAAATATGTTCAGAAACTCCCAGATCTAACCTAAATACAATCAATGTAGTAAAACCAAACAGGGTAGTTTATTCTAAAGAACCATCAACACCATCCCCAACTAATTACTATGGAATGTAGCGGATGCTACAAGCAGAAAATGCCAAAACCAGAGTTTTAATCAGAGGACAACCCCTTCCCCTAAAAAGCTTGCGTGCGGGATTTAATATTTGCTGCCTAACACTCACCTCACCCACATCCATTCATCCATTTTGCAAAAGAAAGGTAAACACATAACCTTACAAAGAAAGAATCTCTCTCACACACACAGACATGCTCTCTTTTTATAGGTAATCATCACAGCAGACTTAACGGGAACACAACAGTAGCCCAGGGAAGCCAACTTACTCCCTGAACATTATTTACACAACTGGTTTTTGCTACTAAGCAGTTAAGTCAGTGGAGTTCTAGAGGTGCTCAGAGTTCAACCAATGGGTGGGGGCAGATAACAGATCCCTAGTACAGTCATTGGGGCATGGTTTGTGCGTGTTTGAACCGTATATTAAGAAACATTTCCTCCTCCACCACCACACAAGTGCAGGCCTGAGGTTTGATCTCATTTCTTCTGAACTAAGAAGAAAGTATTTTGAGTGGAGTGGGATGGAAAGGGTTAAATAAATTCCAAAATGGGTCTTTCCAGTTTTGTTAATATTTCAAAATACACATCCTGGAAATGGCGGAGAGGGGGTGTCCTCTTGATGCATTTAAGATTCCACCCGGCATGGGATGTCTTTCGGTTCCAAGTGAGCAAGGCCTTTAGCACTATTTGCCTTAATATTGTTTTGATACATATCTCCAAGTTTTAAGGTAGCCCTATACATATCAGCAGAGAGTCATATCCCTTCCCCAGTGCATCAGAACAAAGAACTGAACAAATTCCAGGAATCTAACTTTCCTCACCACTGTAGGAGACACCAACACCTTCATTGGCCAATGTCTAATACAACGGTCTTAGCTGCCAAGAGAACTGGTAGGAGATGACGGATCATCAGGGAAGGGCTCAGCTTTACAGCTCAGTGCATTAGCAATTCACTCCTCTCACAATCAGAAAAAACGTACCAAGATGAGCAACAAAAAAGAAGCTTCTTTGGGGTAAAACAGAACGCAGATAGGTGGCCATCCAAGTCGTAAATATAGAAACAGTTCAAAGCCAGGTTTTTCGCAACCAAGTAGGGAGCAAATGAAGAGCAAGCATAAAAGGTTCCAAAATCTGATTTTAGCGTAACATAGATATGGTACTAAATGGAGAGAAGAGATGTCTAACTTCCTTAAAACCTACTGATTGGGGGAACAGGACTCAGTAACAACAGACGCCGTCATGGGTTTTGTGTATGTTTGCTTAGGATTTAACTTGGGGGGGGGGGGGGCTACTAGCCAATTTTTAAGGTAATTTCAAAGTCAAGTCTCCACAACTTTGAAAGCTCAGTTTGCTCTATTCAGCATATAGGACGGAAACCTTTAGAAGTGGAAGCTGAAACCAATGTAAAACTGCTTGGACAGAGAATATGAAAAACGCTTTACAAATATATTACTAACAATAAATAATATTGTCTTAATAAAATATCACAGTTTTTAAAAAAAATATCAAGAAATGTAAGCCAAGTACCGGCACCTTGAAAAGAAGGAGGCTTTTAGGACTCACCAAAGAAAGAGAGAGAGAGAGAGAGAGAGAGGTACCTCTTGAACATCACAATCATTAACGTTTGATGTGTGTGTAGGGGGGCCATATTATTTTGCGATGATAACTTTGCCTTGTGGTGGTGGTGGAAAAATTAGACTATGCACAGTATTTCTTTCACGGAATCAGCAGATTTCTCAGGATGGTTGGTTACAGATACTCTCTTGGACAGAGCGGGAAGATAATTACTGTTCCCCTCATTTGTTCTTTCATTTTCACTCTTGCATTGTGAAGGCTAAGGTGCTTCAAAAATCTGCTTACTCTCATTATAGGAGTTGAAGAGCTATTTCTTTCCACTGGCTGAGCTTTCACTCTGCTTGTCCAGTAGGGCAACTTGCTTTCCAGTTCTGGGAAGCAACAGAACAAAAGCTGATTTGCAACAAGATCAGCTTCAGATTCCCACTGTGCATTTTATATCTGCTTGATAGGTTTACCAATACTGTTATCAGCCACCTCTTGGATGGCATTCCAGTGTTTAAAGGGAGGAGAGGAGAGAAATGCCAATAAGATACCTATTCATTATTCATTTGGCCAACATCAAGTGCCACAGATTCAGAACGTTACTTGTGTCCTATAGACATTCCAGCAAAGGCAACACATTTTTTTCTTTTCATCTGACTGATTTTCAATTGCACCATCCACAAATCTTCCATGAGGCACAGCAGAGCTTACTGTTCTCTCTGCCTCTTATAGGTTGTATATAAGACTTTATCCAGCTCGGGCTCAGACTTGCCTTTTCCAAGCAGTCTTTTACAAACAGAAACAATGGACAACAAATCCCATTTTGCTATTTAAATCTCAGGAATCTGCTTCACATACTCGACCCCCACCCCGCCCCCCAGATGCTGCCCCCCAATATCAACAAGTAAACAAAACATGAAATTGGCTTGCTGTTTCCCATGCCACAAAAGAAAGGGGAGAAGGTGAAAAGGAAGCACCAAAAATAGAAATTTAACAAGAAAAATAACATTCTCCATCCTTTCAGGAGCTTGTAGTCCAGCTTCAGAAGATTTCAGCATCTTTATGGAACTAGATTTTTTTTTGAGAGGGGGGGATTGTGGCTCCCATTTTTCAATGCACAGCTGTGCTTCTTCTCGAGTGCCCTGGACCCTCTCCAGAGTCTCAAGAGACAGCCAGGAAGCAAGCAATGCCAGGAGTCCGTTTCAATGCAGCCTCTATAGCTACATAATACTGGTGACCAAATTCCTGGTGGGTAGAGGAGAGAAAAAACACCAAGGTAAGTTTATACTACTAAACTTCATTGGATACTTCTTTTTGCAAACTGAAGAAACATAGGGTAGTATGCATTCATTCCCTTGCCAAGCTTCCACTGAGTAAAAACATTTCGTTCCTTTCAACTTTATAATGCAAACTGCAGATCTGAAACCTACACACAATTTTTAGAGCATCATGGCAGTGTGTGGAAAAATAACCTCTTGGGACTACAACTCCCTAAAATTCTCCACCCCGCCTCGCTGCATAAAGGATAACACCCTCTGGGAGATGGTATGAGAACACATTTTTTCCACTTTCACAGGAGACTTGCGCCCCTAACCCCAGAAATTGTAGAGAATGTGGTATGATTCATCAGGCTGAAGACAAATGCAAACATAAACTATTGCTTAGTTTTGAGGATAAGTATAAGCTTTCTTAAGAACTCTCACTTATTTACCTTACTCCTCCTATGCAACTGTGAAGAAAGACTTGGGGGTGCTTGATTGCTTGCTTTACTTTAACCTTAGATTGCCATGTTGTCAAAAGCCAACCAACTACAAAGTTTAATGATGGTCAATAGGAAAAAAAGACCAATTCAAACAATGGTTCTGTGTCCGTACCTAGCCCTGCCCCTTTACTGCCTTCCAAAACTATCAAAAACTAGCTGTCCTCACTACACTTAATTTTTTGTGTCAGGAGTGGCTTGAGAAACTGCAAGTCACTTCTGGTGTGAGAGCATTGGCCATCTGTGAGGATGTTGCCCAGGGGGGCGCCTGGATACTTTACCACCTTGTAGGAGGCTTCTCTCATGTCCCCGCGTGAGAAGCTGGATGTGAGCCGTCAACCTTTCGGTCAAAAAGGTTTAACCCAATGCACCACCGGGGACTCCTATACTACACTTAATGGTAGGGTCATACTAGAAAGACACTTAAATGACTCCAACACCAGAAGAACCATAGCAGAGATAAATGCATTTGACAAACTGACGAAACTTCTTCTAACACAAGAAATGGGGACCCTTATGAAGTTGCCTACTGATGAGAGAATGGGGCAGATACAGATGATTGCTTCTATTTTTAAGTCAAGATTCTAGTCTTTGTATATAATAACACATATTTTACCATTGTAGACAGCAACAAGATGGGGAAGGGCCCCTCACTACGTTGAAGTGTCTGCCTCTTGCTTCTGTTTGGAAACAAGCTGAGCCTCTTTCAGTGAGAGATAGACCTCCTCCTGGGGGTCATAGTAGTAGAACTTGCGGATGTACGAGATCAGAGGCCTAGGTGAATAGAAAGCCAAGGGAAACATCCAAAACAGACTTTAAGAGACACAATAAGGCAGAAGTCAAGTTTTAAACAAATTCAACAACAAGATTCTAAATTATCTTTACTTTTCTTTTAGACCAATAGGCAAATATTGTAGCTCGCATGACCATTGGAGAGCAGGGTTTGAATCCCCACAAAAATCTGCTGGATGACCTCAGCCAAGGCACACTCAGAGGACAAGAAAGGTAAATCCCTTCTGAAAAAATATTGCCAAGAAAAACCTGTGATAGGGTCTTCATAAACTGGAAACAATTTGAAGGCACACAACAACAACAGTGCAAAAGATAAGAGTTGTTACTGCAAAAGCACAACTTCAAGAGATTTGCAGTCATGAAATGAAATGGACCATAACCATGACTGGAAAAAATTGAAATTTAGAAAATAGGCTCCATTGCAGATTGAACATTGAAGTGATTTTCAGATCCAAAGTCTGAAAGCTGAAATACATACAAAACATGTTTCAGCATCCTGGACTATGTATGCCTTTTCCCCAACATTGCGCCTCTTTGCTCTTTATCTATTTTGTTGTTTTTAACCAAGTCACCTCTTTTCCTCCTCCGGAAAAGGCCTGCTTTCTAGCCACCTTGAGTCTCATTATTGAGAAATGTGGAGTATAAATAAATAAGTAAGCTTCTGCAAGTAAGAACTTTAAGCAAACATTCACTGGACTTATTTATTGGTCTTTTGCCCCACCCACCACTGGAACACAGCCTCTGAAATTCAATTTGTACCTACCTGAAAAAGGTCCCTCACCTTTATTTTCCAGCTCCTACTGTGCCCAAGTACTAAGCCATTTATTTCCCCCTATGCCTCAGCCAAATTCATTTTCTCTATTCCCTACAGTGATGTGCTGTCAACATTCCACATAACCTACACAACCTTTTGGCACAATGAAGTTTTAAACCTTCTGCTGACACAACAGCAGTTCACCGTGTCCTGGGGTATAGGTACAGGGAAGGAGGAGCAACTGTTCTAGCCTCAGGCCCTTCCAGACACTTTGCAGCACAAGAAAATATACAGCATTTCATTTACTCATTTGTGGAAATCACCAGATGTTTTCCCTCAAGCAAGCAGTTTGCTTCAGGCGCTATCCTATTACTTGGAACTGCAAACCATATATGCTTCAGGGTTTAGAAAAAAAAGATTATTTTCCCCCTGTGCCATTTGATGAGAAGCTTTTTGTCTGCAATGCAGCTCTCCTAGATCTGGGAGCCACATGCATCTCATTACTCTAAACCTGTTGGTGTGCACTTTACATTTCTATTGAAAAGAATAATGTTTGGGGAGTATTACAAACATTATCATGTCTCTCTCATCTGTACTGCCTGATCCACAAAGGCACCTACTTCCTTGGTGGTTCAGACAATGAATAATATTCTGTATATAACCAGACTAAGTAAGACGGATAAGGAGTATATAGTCCTTTAAAAAAACTTTCTTTCTCTTTCGGAAAATGGCACAAGGAGCAGAATTTAATCTCATACCATTCAGTCTCACCAGTAGGATATTGGAAGAAAGGATGAAGAAACCTTTATTTGTGGTTCTTTTTAATTTATGTTCTTTTCTCCCAACAAAATGGCAGCTTACAGTTTTAAAAACATAACTAAAAACTGTTACTACAAGAATTTGTAAAACAATTAAATTATCTATTTTGTAAAAAATAGCCTTCTAGATCTTTGGACAATTACTACATGTTGTATAGAGATAATGGGAAAAAGTTCTGAAAAATTTGGGATTTTTTGTTACATAATATGGCAGGAGTAGCGATAGTAAAAGGTAAAGGTTTCCCCTTGACATTTAGTCTGACTCTGGGGGGGTGGTGCTCATTTCTAATCTGAAGAGCCAGTGTTGTTTGTAGATGCAGTCATGTAGCCAGCATGACTGCATGGAGTGCCATTACCTTCCCACAGAAGCTGTGCCAATTGATCTACTCACATTTGCATGTTTTCGAACTGCTAGGTTGGCAGAAGCTGGGCCTAACAGTGGGAGCTCACCCCGATCCCGGGATCTGAACCGCTAACATTTCAGTCAGCAAGTTCAAAGCTCAGCGGTTCTAACCACTGCGCCACAGGGGACTCCAGAGGGATAATAACCTATTGTAAATTTGATTGACTACTGGGGTTCATATTCTTCACCTGCGTATAAAGTTCACAAATAAGCATGGACCAATCACTATCTTTTCGTCAAACCTACTTCACAAGGTTATTTTGATAAGAAAAAAATGAGGAAGATCATATGTGCTACTTCAAGCTCCAGAGAAGAAAGATGGAACATACAAGTAACAAATAAGTCCAGGCATTCTCTGAGTTACAAACATCTGACTTACAAATGACTCACAATTAAGAAGGGGAGAGTGAGACAACAGGAAGTGAGATAAACCTACCCCTAGCAAGGGAAATTCACTCCTGGAAGAGTTATCATAGAGAGGGAAATGTCTCAACAGAAAATTTATCACCAATTCTTGTTTCAATAGCAAGCTAATTTTTTTTTTCAAAATCCAATTATCACAGGGACAGAAAGTGAGATGAAATCTTCTGAACAAGGGCTCGGATAGTAAAACAAACACCACAGGGATAATAATAATAATAATAATAATAATAATAATCTTTATTTAATACCCTGCCACCATCTCCCCAATGGGGACTCGGGGCAGATTACATGAGGCCAAGCTCAACAACACATTACAATAAAGTAAAACCAGAACACAATAACAACACAGTGAAATACATAGAACATATGAGTACAAAAACAATAAAGCAAAATTTTACACAGTAAAATAAAATAACATAACATAACAATGATCTGGCCGCATGTGCAAGATAAAACTAATATACTAAAAATACTAAAATCAGGATGAGATAGGGATGGAGGAGATTGTTTGTGGGGGAGAAACTCGTAAGGAACAGGGTCATAAATATAGGCCTTCATACAGGTGGGGAAATATACTCTGGGAACAACCCTTCCCGATCCCACCCAAAGCTTTATATGGCTGGAGTTACACTTAAGAACATACTTGTTCTATCTTGTTTGTAACTTGGAAACTGCCTGTAATAAAATGTCACTATAAAAAAGAAATGACACAAAAGCAGAGAGATTCCTTTGATTCAGGTTGGCAATCATGCAGCATTCTAGATGCTGTTGAGACTGCAACTCCCAGCAGCCCTAGCCAGCATAGCCAACGGTGAGGAATGCTGGGAGTTTAACAGTATCTGAAGAGCTGTATGATCCCCACTGCTGCTTTAGCCAGAATATTCCTTAAGCAAAAGACAGAACCTACTTGGGGAGTGGTAATTCTGGAATGTGATCAATGCGGACTAGCTGTCTTATCCGGAAGCGGCAGAGATGCTGTAGCGATTTCACATTGCTGAACCTAGAGACTGGGTAAAGGAGCTGGACAGGGGTCGGAGGGAGACCTATAAGTTTTAAAGAAATTATTAAAGTAATTGAAACAGCTTAGGGGAGACAGAAGCATCAGCTATTAAAATATACCATAATCAGGAACCCAGGACAAAGCAAGTGCAAAAACCCACTAGCTGACTTCTTACACTGGCCATTTCTGCATTTGAAAGACTTCTCTCTTAGTCAGCCTTTGATGTAAATGTGATCCCATGTGTCTTCAGGTTAGGGGCATAATGTGTCAAAAGATATCTGGCTTTACACCTGTTTCACGGTTAAGCTCTTGGATATTCTGCCCATTTTGGAGTACAGCCAAGCACTGGTTCCTGTGCGCCCAAGCACTTGATGAAAGAGAAACCAGCTCCCCCAGCACTCTGCCAAAATCTCCACCACCTTTACCTTCCTGACTTACATTTTTAACTTCCCACTTTGGAGGCATAACTTTTTCAAACGGATGGTCATAACAAATTGGGGGGTGGGGAGACAAATGTTTATACAAGAGTTTTGGAAAGAATCCATAGCTTACCAAATTTGCTTTTATCCCTTGTGGAAAAAAGCTAGCATCATGCTGGTGACATATCCAGGCACAAGCTGTGTAATAATACATGCAGTGTGGTTTCTTTGGACAATGCATAATAGTTTTGTCCAGCAGATGGTGGCATAAGTGGAGCTGTATATTTAGGGCCAATGCACATAGGACAATGTATTGTCAAAAGCTTTCATGGCCGGAATCACTGGGTTGTTGTGAGTTTTCTGGGCTGTATGGCCATGTTCCAGAAGCATTCTCTCCTGACGTTTCGCCAGCATCTATGACAGGCATCCTCAAAGGTTGCCTGCCATAGATTCAGATGAAACATCAGGAGAGAATGCTTCTAGAACATGGCCATACAGCCTGGAAAACTTACAACGCAGCACACAGGACAGCATATTTAAGTATAAAGAAATGGATGTGAGTGTGCATTGCTTCTACACCATCATGCATCTTGAGCATTTATCCACATACAATTGGACTATGATGGTATTCAGTATAGCAAATTTCCTAATATTTATTTATTTATTTAAAGCATTTATATTCCGCCCTTCTCACCCTGAAGGGGACTCAGGGCGGAGCACAACATATAAACGACAAACATTCAATGCCGAAACATATTATACCATACACATGCAAAAGCATTAAAATCACATATCTCAACATTAAAATCCACTAGTTAAAAATGTCTCAACAACCATATCGAATTTGGTTGGAATACTAATGGTTCCTATCGCTGCCTCATTGCACAGTCCCAAAGGCTCGGTCCCACAGCCACATTTTTATCATCCTTCTGAAGGACAAGAGGGAGGGGGCTGACCTGATCTCATTAGGAAGTGAGTTCCATAGCTGAGGGGCAATTACTGAGAAGGCCCTATCTCTCGTCCTCGCCAAACGCGCCTGTGATAGTGGTGGGACTGAGAGCAGGGCCTCCCCAGAAGATCTTAATCTCCGCAGTGGTTCATTTAGACTATTTTAAAACAATGTAGGCTTTTGACCATTAAGTCCCCATTGTTGAGCTTGTCTGAAGAAGCAGGGCAAGAAAAACATATCTGCCCATCAGGTTTAAACCAGGATGAAGAACATATGTCCTACTAGGTGCTACTGGAAGAGCTAGCATAGCACAATGCTTTGAGGGTTGGACTATGACCCTGGAGACCAGAGGTCCAATCTCCTTTCAGCCTTGCAAACTCACTGGGACCCCTGAAACAAGTCACACTCTTTCCACCTCAAATAAAATGTAGTCCCTCTGTAAAAAAATACTGCCAAGAAAACCGTGCAATTGTGTTGGCATAAGTAATAAATGACCTAGAGGGACATAGAAACATCATGCTATTAAGCAGATACTCCATCACCTCAAGCCCAGCATGACCAAAGATTAAAGATGGTAGCCCAAGATTTGAAGAGCATTCTGAATTAGCGTAACACAGTATTCACTGTGCATTCTGAAAGGAGCTAAAAATAAGTAGTAAAGCATATCCTCTGCATGCAAAAAATCTCAGGTTCCTTTTCTGTCAACCTGTAAAAAGTATCATTCATTATATCCCCAAATAAGCAGAGCTAACAGTACACTCAAATAGAGCAAATGAAGCAAATGGAGGTAATGGAAGAAATGGGAGCCCCCCAGACCAAGTATTTCAACCGGCCGGCCAGCTCAACAGAAGTCCTGAGAGGGATCTGGCTGGCTGCGTTTAGGAAGAGCTATATCCAGAACACTGTGGCTCTGTAAATGCTCTGCAATCTTGTCATCATCTCTCCCTTTGCTTGTGCTGCTCTTTCCAACTGGACAGAAGCACCAAAGCTAAAGCTTGGAGTAGGTTGATAATATCAAGAGTGGTTCTCTTTCAAGCTAAGAAAACACATTTCTTGGACTTGTTTATGCCAGAGAAAAATCACTATATTCTGGAATATTCTGGGAATATTTCGTGCCTATTAGTATCTACTACTAATACCAACATGGATGGTATTTTGCAATAGACCCCCCCCCCCCAAAAAAAAGAGCTAGATAGCATTGTTTTGTTTAATAAATGCAACACAGACAAAATTATTGCTGTTCTACTACACACCTGGAACCCTGGATCGCAAAAAGTACAGGAACTTCCCGTTTTTGGAGTGCATGATGGCACGCTTTATGAACTCCACTACGGACTGGCAGCGGTCCTCAAATTTGGGGTGACACCAAAGACTGAAAGTTCCTGAGCCAAGAAATAAAAAATACAAAGTAAACAGAAGGCAGATTACAAACATTCCTATCAAAATTATAGCAATTATCACTGACCAGTGGGTAGAATGCCGACAAACATAGCACACATTATGCATCTTGAGGCATAGAAACATATGGTGCTTTACATTTACACAAGACACACACTACCCAAAGCCAGACAAGCTATGTATTCACAGTCCTGTAAACACCTCTCCTATTCCTGATAGGAAAAGATGTTTAATAATAATAATAATAATAATAATAATAATAATAATCTTTTGCTGCTTTTTCATCACATGCAAGATCTGCTGCCTGAAGTGGTCACTACACTCTGTCCAATAGCAGCATTGGCTCAATGCTAGTAGACTTGAGTTTAAAATCCCTCTCATTTTAATTAAACTCTTATTGGGGAAAGTAGGAATCATTCTAGGTCCGTGCCCTTTATTTATTTATTTATTTATTTATTTACTCCATTTGTATACCGCATTTATCAGCCTGGACGGCGACTCAATGCGGTTTACAGTAAAATGTGCAACACTGACAATATATAAAACAGACATACACAGACAACACACATATAGTCATCAACGCCTCAAATAGAATCAGATCCCGTTCTCACAGTCGTTTTACCGTTCCTTGTTCAGTATGCCGTCTTTCTGAGTTAGTTGTAATTGCATAATTATCTGAACGCCTGTTCATAGAGCCACGTCTTAACCCTCCTCCGAAACGCCAGTAACGAAGGGGCCTGCCTGATGTCCGCTGGTAGGGCATTCCATAGTCGAGGGGCCACCACCGAGAAGGCCCTGTCTCTCGTCCCCGCCAACCGCACTTGTGATGCTGGCGGGACCGAGAGCAGGGCCTCCCCGGACGATCTTAACGTCCTTTCCCCTGTACCCATACTTACCTCTGTAGTGCTCCATTCGGGTATGATGGGTAATACCCTGTGATCGAAAGCTGAGACTCAGAATGTACCGAGGATCAGAGCTATCTCGAACCAAAAAGGAGCCATCAGGTTTCCCTTTCAGCTTCATTTCAGCATCTTCCCAGTTCATTGGTCCCCAGTACCAACCACACTATTTAAAGCAAGAAAGGGGAAGAGAGACAGTCTAGTCAGATGAAAATCAAAATATTTTTCATTAGAATTTGTTAAGCAACAACAACATTGGAATGTGTCACAACAGGAAACTACTTGCTAACCGAATCAACAAGAAAATATTTCTATTAACTTGTTTCAATAGAAGGTTTTTTAGGAACATTGAATCCAGCACCGACTCTCTAGCTTGGCACAGAGAAGGCAGAACTCGCACACTGGACAAAGATGACTTTTATTTATTTATTTATTTACATTATTTCTATCCTGCCCATTTCAGCCCGAAGGCAACTCAGGGCGGTATACACAGTCGGCACAATTCGATGCTGAAACAAAATACATACATTGATAAAACAAAAACATCAAGTGCAATTAAACATAAACGACAGTGCATAATAAACAATTTAAAAAGAGACTATGTCCTCTCATTTAAATCATTCAAACATAAAGCAGCACACAACCAAGTTTCCAAGTCCACATGGAAGTCCCAATGTTGGCTTTTAAGTGAGAAGAATTAAGCAGTTGTTCACTCATATCATGCCATGATTTGGTCACTTTCATCATACCAAAGCTATCACTGAAACAAATTATACACATATATTCCATGCCCTTTGCCAAAAGAAAAATTCTCCTTTTCAAAGCAAATGTTCCTAACCGCCCAAGATTTGTTAAGAAGTGGCTCTGCAAAATGCTTCTGTGCCCTCTTTTTAGCCAACACGTTGTGAATCATATTTTTAAGAATTAAAAAGTATTATTTTGTACCACCAAAAGATCACATAGCCAATGTTGCACTGAAAATACAATTAACAAATTTCATCCTTTTCACCATTTCCAGCTTACATGTTTCCATCAAACATATTCAGAGAAGGGAGTTACAAGCACCTCTCAAATTAAAAAAAACACAACACTTACTTTTTCTAGCTCCCGCAAACTTGCTGCAAAACTGCTTGAGTCAGGCCGATAGAGAGGGCACTGAAGGTGCTGTGAAGGTTGGCTGTGTACTGCTTCTGGTGCTCTGATTGGGATGATTCTGGGAAATGCGTCTGCAAGGGGAGACAAAAGACAGTCACTCAAATGTCTCATCAAGGAATAAAAATGAGGAAGTTAATAGTAGCTGCTAGAGAAGACACTTTTAAAAGACAATAAAGAGAAAGAGGCTCAAATCATCCAAGGGAGGCATAAATGACTGTAAGTGCAATGCCATCTATAGGAGAATGGGACAGACTTTAGATTTGTGGAATCTATTTTCTATTTCATTAGAACCTTGAGATCCACGAAGCAGATCCAGATCCCTTTCAGACTGCATAGTAATAAGCACTATTCTACTTTAACTGCACAGTATTAACCTATGGGGTTGTTGGATTTGCAATTTATGGAAGGGTATTTAGAATTAACAATCAGAGGGCTCTAGTGCCTTTTAAAACTACATCTTGTATAATTCCATAGGATGTAGCCATGGCAATTGAAGTGGAATCATGGTGTTATAATTGCATAGTGTGAAAGAGCCACAGGTACAAGAGGGTGGCTCAGAAAAGTACATACAAAACTATGAAACTACATGCCTCCCAACACATACTTAGCCCAGGTATGTGTTTTTAGCACAAGAACTGGCAGATATCCTAAACACTTCCCTCTCTCACACATACACTCACCTCTAAGACAAGCTATGTCTTGTTATCAGCAGTCTAATTTAGGAGGAAAAATAAACTTCTGTTGGTCAGTTTAACCTCCAAAGACCAGAAACACTTGTTGACATCCAGATATCTGCCAACAGATCCTTGTCTAATTTCTGTCCACTTCTGAACTATAAAAGTCCTGAACAGAAACTATCCTAAAGAGTAATATAATTTCATTTCCAATTCACAACTCCTATGTCTATATTTTTGTGGCTTATCCCCAATATTACAAGTTTATTATTATAGTCATTCTATGCTGATCTCCTCTAATACTTTCCTTCCAAGTCCTCAGAAGTCAGAAAGGGAGAAAACAGTGTCACAACTGATATTGCATTCTTTGAACTAATGGAAAAGCATTATGCAAATGTCTGCAGCTATCTATATTGCATGTTTCCTATAGTAAAAAGTGCTGTATTATTTAAAAAAACATTTTTGCAGCTGAAATTTTTAAAACAATAATGTTAATAATACAATAATATCAACATGTTTTAAAAACAGAGTAAGAACTGCTGGATAAAAGACAATCAAGATGTCTCCAAGCAGATGTCCATGGACAACGCATGTCCTAAGGGACAAGTGGAGAAACAGTTTGGCCTCCCACAATCCCTTACTATCAGCCATGTTGGGTAGAACTTCTGCTGTCCTAAGGCAAAATATCAGGAGAGACAAAGGTTCCTTAGTTCATTCCAAAGACAAGTGTTGCCAAAGACTAAACCCTACTTCATAGCCTAATGTATCTTATCTCAAATAGAGTTTGGTGGGAGAGAATCCTTCAACATATAGGGAAGAGGCTGGTGCCCAACTATACAGGGAAGTGAAAGTAGATGAGGAAAGAGAAATGGTAACTGGAATAGACAGGGGTACACGCTGTAGTAGCCACAAAACTAAGTGAGACACAGATGCACAGCATTTCATGGAAGCAGGCCTGGAACTAACATTAAGCAGAAGTAGACAGCTCTGCTGCAAGCAGTAATTTTAAAGCATTGAAAAAGCATCAAGTTGAAATCTATTTATTATTATATTTTGACTGCATAGGAGAGGAAAAGACCATGTGAGTTATTTCTGAACCCAAATAGCTTCCCTGAGTCTCCAACTTGGAGAGAAAAGTTATATTTTTATTGTTGTCATTAATATATCAAGACAGAATAACTACAAACCAATGAATAAGAACTGCTTCTAAAAAAAGAGCCATGGAAAACAAATGTGAATATTTAAGGTAGCATATAATACATAGGTGAATATGTATTATATGCTACCTTAAATATCAACAGTTTTAGCCGTATCAGGAAGGAGATAAAATCCATGCACTGACAGCTTTCAGGAGGGAAGTCTTCACACATAGGTCAATTTTAGCAACCCAATTTTTCCAACTTAATTTTTAATACACTGTTTCCCCAATGTATAACAGGTAATTAAACATACATCTCTATTAATGCACACACAGCACACTCATTCAATACATTTTCCCTTTCTTTTTGTCTCTGTTGATTTGGTTTCCTCAGATGGGAAGGTGTTACATAAATGTAGGTTCCTGTTTATTTAGAAAGAAAATCCAAATTAAACCTGGAACAAAATAGTTACTTGCCAGGATAGGATCTCAATTTTGCAGCTACAAGGAACCACAAACCCACATATCAAGTACTTCAAGGACAAACTGAAGTCAGATATACAGATGGAGCTAAGTGAGTATATATTTATTTAATTGCAGGCTTTTCCAATAAATGGGAAATAATTTGCACAACACAGTCTTGTCACCCATAATCTGTTACAGCTTTGATGAATGATGTTAAAAACCATTAGTGGTTATCGAGTCAATTATATTAACGGCATGAGTAATAATTGGCTTCTCATTGTAATTCACGAAACATTACTTGCCAGAAACATTACTTGCCAGAAGAGTTCTGGCTCAGCAAGAAAATCCTAAACTCTTTACTTTACTTTGCTTACTTTAGTTAACATACAGTTCTTCCAAACATTTACAATGGAAAATTAATCAAAATGTTATTTCCAACTCACTAGCCGAAGTGCGATAAAAATATCCCAGAGACATCTACAGGAATCACTGTTTCATATGAGAGAAGACAGGAAGAAGTTACAAAAAAGCCTTGTGATGGGTAAGGTGGAAAGAGACGCAGTAGAATCCTGTGAATGTCACTCTAGGACTTCTAGTGTATACATGTTTCCCACAAAAAATTAGCATCATTAAGAGACAGAGATTTTAAAAACGGTGTTATCACAAATATATATGGAATGGTTTTCTATCTGTCCCATTTCTTGCACACCGCCTTGTGCCCAAAAATCTATTAATCAAATTGAGAAGCTCGGCTAACTTGGAAATCTTTACAAAAGAAATTTTGAGGATCAAGACTAAACTGACCAGGGGCGTGCGGCGGAGGTGGCGGAGGAAGAGGAAAAGACTGGAGGGACGAAGACCCCATCGGACCCACTAAGACAGATGTAGGCAGTGTCCCACTGATATCATCTAGAAGAAGAACAAAAAAATTTGAGAGTTCCAACCTGGCAAAAAGACACGCCTAGGTTTTCTCAGAGTTTTAAAAAGCAGTCTTGGCCCTTTTGCAACATTAATAAAAATCAATACATATTCCTGTTGAAAGCTTCTCGCTTCTTTCTTAAATGAGCTAACTAGAAACCACTTCATACTATCAGTATTATGGTTAAAAGTTATTTTTCAGGTTTAAAAAAATCCCCAAAAATATGAACAAATTAACAGTCATCTTCCCGAATGACCCTTTGACACAGGTAAGTCAAGATGCTTGTAATCTGTTTGGGGGGATATTCATCATGCTTTAACAATACAAGTAATCACTTCACATAGGCAAAAAGATGTCGGGATATATTATAAACAAGCACACACATTTATACTATTGTTACTGTAAAAGGAAGCAGGTACTCACATAACAATCTGTTTAGTTTTGCAGTACCAGAGTCCATGTCACTTGGAAGCATAAATCTCAATGTGATGAATCCATTTAAATGGAAAGAAGCCATGCATAACTGAAGGGATTTTTTTAATGCTATTATATTTAAAATACAGTGGATGCCTACAATACGTGGTCTGCCAAGCTAAATGCAGCCTACCAGAGATGCATGGCAGGCAACAGGGAGCTCATTCAACTTTCCATTTTCATTGCTTGCCTAGACAAAAGCAGGGAACCAATAGGGAGCTGTTAATCACCTGCTAAACCAAGGCACGCAACTAGTTGTTTGCATCTGGCTTAACAGGTGACACATCATACAGGCCCAACAAACAGTACTACCCAAAGAAAGAACTTCTGGGCTTGAAATTCATAAAAGGATAGATGTTACAATAGGTACAGAGCTGCCACCACTGTCTCTCTTCTCTGCTTCAACTTCCTGATGACAGAGAAAGAGACAAGACCACAACACTGTTTGTTCCACATATGTAGCAGCACAAAGCTAAACTAAACAACTCCTTAGTCCACCCTTAAATCATACTACTGCAGGCTTAAAAAGCACTGCAACAGTGGGAGTATACAGAATGCAGCAGTATTGGGTGCTGGAACTGGCCCCCTATCTTCCTGGCTTAACAAGTTTTCTGCATTCTGTGGATCACAAGCTATTGTCCACTGATTCAGATAAGACACAACTGTAGTCAATAGGCACAAATATGGCACATTGGGATATATAACCTGCTTGTCCTTCTGCATCAGACAGTTTAAGCAACATTGCTCAAAAGTAATAGCGTCTCAACAGCACCCTCTAGAAATGTTGAGCCACCACCAACATCATCCCCAGAACAGAGTGATTCGAGTTGCAGTCCAGCACTTCTGGAGGTTGACAGGTTGAGAAAGGTGGATAGGGATCTTATTCTAATGCTTATTCCATTTCTTTTTGCTTTACATACAGGCACATGAAAAGGAGTACTTCAAAGTGAAATTCAAGGAAGACAAGGGGGATAAAATACCATCCCGAAAGATTAGCTAAATCCAAATGGATTTTAAGTTTTAAACTCTTCCAAGGGAAAATGTGAAACTTAAGACACGTGCAAGTGAAAACAACAAGATCAAAGAGACACAGCTGCTCTGAAAGGAAATGAAATTAAACCTAAAACAAATCTTGAATTTCAGTCAGATCCATAAATGAACATTGAAAATGGCCTGTGTTTAGCCATCACCTCAGCATTAAGCACTGGAATATTGTGAATGCTATAATGTTATATCAGTCCTAGAAAACAGCCAAACATAGGCAACTTTAAAACTTCATAAACAGCAACTCCAGGTGTAAAGAAAAAGAGACACATCAGCCTGTGTAATTCCTTACTCTTCCCCACAAGTAACAGAATTGTGCAAAGCATGCACATTTACTTAATTAATGCAAAGGCTATAGATATTGGCTATTCAGTTTGCATTGTGTGGGCAGAATTTGGAGTAGAGAAAGAAAAAAAGGACAAGCATGCTTCAGCAGAGAATACACATAGGACAGCCTTGTTACAAATTTATCTCTTTGATTATAAGCGAACACAGCACACATATGGGGGTGGGGATCTAGGGTCCATATTTATCCTCCTCTGAATTTAGGTAGGTTGTATCTGCCTTCAAACCTAAAGAAAAAAATCCATTACATAAATAGCAAATTAGTCACCCAATATGCCAAATCTTTTTCAAAAAAGGAAATCCAAGAAAGTCCTGTTTCTCAGAAATAAAAGATGGGACAGGTTTGTTTGTTTTGTCGTGTCAGGAGCGACTTGAGAACTGCAAGTCGCTTCTGGTGTGAGAGAATTGGCCGTCTGCAAGGACGTTGCCCAGGGGACACCCGGATGGTTTGATGTTATCATCCTTGTGGGAGGCTTCTCTCATGTCCCCGCATGAGGAGCTGCAGTCTATAGAGGGAGCTCATCCGCCTCTCCCCAGATTCGAACCTGCGACCTGTCGGTCTTCAGTCCTGCTGGCACAGGGGTTTAACCCACTGTGCCACCGGGGGCTCCCGATGGGACAGTGAAAGATGGGGGAAAAGTCAGAGCTAATTCTAACAAAAAAAGATTTGGAAGAAAATATGAGGTTTATCTAAAATCACATGAGAAAGCAAGCTGTACCCAAAAGGCTGAGGCTTCGTCGTGGGGGAGGTGGTGGTGTAGGAGGATGTGGAGACGTTAGACCACGCTGAGAGATATCCACATCCACCAGCGACACTGTCTCACCTGAAAAAGGGAAGAAAAATTATTATTAGAACCAATAGTACAGGCAATCTTCTATCCACCATCCTGACTATACCTGCATGCAAGAAGCTCAGAATTGAGATCGTCTGACCACAGTAAGACATAGGCTCTATATCACAGGCATGGGAAAACTTCGGTCCTCCAGGTGTTTTGGACTTCAATTCCCAGAAATCCCAATCAGCTTATCAGCTGTTAGGAATTATGGAAGTTGAAGTCCAAAATACCTGGAGGGCTAAAATTTGCCCATGCCTACTCTATATGGAACTGCCCTTGAACAGTGTTCAAAATTGCCACTGGTACAAAATGCAAACAGCAAGATAGTTTTCCTGGGTATATTTTCAGGCTATATGACACTGATCTTTCAAGTGTACTGGTTGCTGACTTGTTTATTAAAAAGCCACCTTTTGGGTTAGAAGTGGTCCCATCTGGTCAGATTTCATATAATCTTAGCTAATCCTCCATTAATGGCTTTGTCCTCTCAACCAAGTTATTGAGAAAGTGTACATTAATCCTCTGGGGAGTTGGATGGTTAAATAGATGCTGGCAGTATCCCAGTTGCAATGCTTCTCAATGGCTGCTCCTAGGCTCTGCAACTACCTTCCCAGGAAGATAAGACTATCCTTCCTATCTTTCCACAAGCAGGTGAAAACCTGTTTAATCCAGCAGGCCTTTAAATGATTTTACAGGGAAAATAGCCCCTGTATAATGTTCTGGATTTCTATTTGATGCTGTTTTAATCTGTTTTATGATGGCTTAATTGTTGTTTTTAAACTTTTGTATGCTATTATTTTTATGATGTTTGATTTAACACTTGTAAATCATAAAAGGTCAACATATAAGAAGACTATTATGAATTAAGGGAAAGAGATATAAACCAGCAGATAAGGATAGCCATTAATACTGCTGGATTTGGTCCCTGAGAAAAACTGATACCATTTTCCATTGCCAGTTAGGTCACTCTATAGCACCCTTGACGATATTGTCTGGGGGGAATGGGATATGTTTCCTAAGCAATTGACTTCAGCTCTCAGAATCCCTATATTGGATGAAGCTTCTAGGAGTTGAAGGTTCAAGCAGAAGAGGAGAAATTAGAATTACTGCACTAAAGGATTCCATGGATAATCACTCTCACACACATATATGCAGAGACATGTAAAATATCAAAATGCTTGTTTGTTTTTGTTTTTAAAATAGAAAAGTGAACCACCCCAAAGCCAGCTAGAACATTTTCCAGTCAGTATTATTACTGTGTTTTACCTTAAAGACTCTTGCAATGACATATTATACATCCACTGCTTTTTTAAAATTAGAGAAAAAAGGCATACTCACCTGTGAAGAGGGGACCAAAAACAACGGGAGAAAAGGCACTTTGTGTTCGCATCAATCTTGGCTTTCTATAAGACAGACAGAGGAGACTATAAATAAGGCAATTCTGGATCCATGTTAATCCCAAGAGCCTCATTCCTTCCCTCCTACACCATGAGCCATAGACCTACCTCTATCCATTATTATTTATAAAAAGAGTACGTGACGACATAGAGAGATCCATTATGTTTATGCTACTTAGGTTGTAAATTACTTTTAAAACGGCAGTAAAGCCAGAATATAAGGAACTAAGAACTAAATAATCTAGTTTCTTCAAAAATAATCTAGCTTCTTCACACATACCCAATGCAGTCTGAACAAGTGTAATTCTTACTCTTTACACATGTCACGCTTGCTCCAGAAATAACCACTTTGACTGCAAGATTGAAGCGTTCTGGTCTAATTCAGAAAAAAAGCTTGTCTCAGCCATACAAGTTTTGCATATTCTTTAGAGACTCAATTCCTCAGTTTAAAAACTAAGATACAATTAAACACTCGCTTTTCACAAAAGTAGTTATTAATCCCAGTACTAGAAAGAATATGAGGAAGTGTTCATTTCCATTTTTCAAGGGCACTGACTCCCCAGTATTATTTTCCTTTCAGGCTAAGCTCCCTTTCTGAGTAAAACTGCTCATTGTATAAAAAAGTAAAAAGGGATTCATCCTTGGATCAAGCTTTATAAAGTAAAGTAAAGTTACTACGAGGAAGTAAAACCTTTCAATGATGTCTGCCCATAGCACACCAATACAATCTAGGGGTGACACATGAACCACTATGGGGGGAATCCTGGTTTACAAAAAATATTAATTTTGTAACAACTTTTAACCAGAACTTGGTATCACTTCAACACTGCAGGAGTTGTAGTTTTACAATGTCTTTAGACTTCTCTGCCAAGCAATGTTGATGCCTCAACAAACTACAATTCCAAGAATTCCACAGCAATTAACCATAGCAGTTGAAGTGATGTCATATTCCATTAATTCTACAGTGTAAATGCACCACTAGTGAGTTTTATGTATGAACATGAATATCAACCCAGGAATCCTTAGTGTGTCACATCATCTCACTTTTTTATATCTTCAATAACAAAGAGTCCTATCAGCACTACTGGCCATCTGCTTCAGCATAAGACGTTTTGTTGCCTAAGGCAGAACACTAATCCCTGCCTGCTCAAAAGTCAAGGCACCTGGCACCTAAAGGCTGCCAATTGATTCTGAGACCAATTCTGGAACCAGAAGAACCTCAAAACAATTCTCCTCCTAATAGTAAAAATTCAATACTGCAGATAATGAATAACATCTCTTTTAGGATATCCAAAAGCACTGCCTTATTTTCTCCCATAACAGATCTCCCTTAGAGTTACTTTAATCCAGAAATGACTTAACCTCACCACCAGCCTGGATTTGTTACTAGATGTTTTGGTACGTTGACCTTCAGAAAGTTAGTTGCATGCTCTCAGCCTCAGAGGAAGATAATGGCAAATCTTCTCCAAACAAATCTTGCCAAGAAAACCCCATAACAAATCTCTGTTAGAGTTACTTTAATTCAGAAATGACTTAAAGGCCCAAAACTAGAACAAGTAGAGTATCCCTTATCCCAGTGGTTCTCAACTTGTGGGTCCCCGGATATTTTGGCCTTCAACTCCCAGAAATTCTAACAGCTGGTAAACTGGCTGAGATTTCTAGGAGTTGTAGGCCAAAATGCCCTGGAGACCCACAAGTTGAGAACCACTGTCTTATCCGATATGCCTGGGACTAGAAACATTTTGGACTTCCAATTTTGGAGTACCCGTCTTTTCATACATACACACTCACATAACAAAATGTCTTGTAAATACAAGATTCGTTTGCGTTTCTTATACATCTTATACACATAGCCTGTTAATAATTTTATACAATATTTTAAAACAAAGTTTGCATACATTGAACAATCAGGCAGTATCTCAGTTCTGGATTTTGAAGCCTTTCAGAATTCCAGATAAGGGATGCTTAACCTGTACTATTGTGTTTAACATGAAACTGGCCTACATGACAGCAACAAAGAAAAAAGAAGGCGTGCTTCCATCCTCTTAGATTTCCTGAGTCAATAATCTCCAAACCCACAAATTACAGACATTCAGCTTTTAATGTCTTGCTTAATCTTTTTTCCTCCTCCTTTCAACCTCCTGTTAAAATTATTGGATGCTCAAAAGTTTACTCATCACAGAAAGAAATAAAGCATTGGTCCTAAAAAAAAGTTAATGAACGGCATGTTTCTGAGATTTTCCCCCAGTGAAATAACATGAGGACTCAGGATTTTTGTGTAATTCCTGATCTCTGAACATTACTGCATCACCAGAACTGGCAACATTTTTAAAACTATTTTTTTTTATGTATTATGAAGAAAAAGTTAGTATCTATGTGCCATCTAACCACTTGCAGACAATTCCATTAATTCAATAAGAATTTCTTAAGAAAGGAGTGTGCAGAGTTTTGTTTTTGCCATTGCCTTCATGTGGAATACCACATACAACACGTGGTTTTCCTTGGCAATCCCCCACCCAGGCATCAACAAAGCCTGACTCTACTTAGCTTTTAAGATTGGACAAGATTTGATGCCTTCAATCATTAAGCTGAAGTATGCCTCCCTCCACTCTGTCTCTGCAATTAACTGTTTTGCCTTCCCATTGTCACTTTAGCCATCCATTCTGAAATACAAACCCTTCTGCTGGGTACAATGTGTGAATTCTATAGTTCCCTCTATTCCCAGTTTGCAGGCTGGGAGACTGTAGATAATTTAACCAAAAACTGAACCATTCTCATACAAAAGATGATGAGCAGGCTTGGGGAGGGGACACTGGGTGGATTGAGCAGGCACAGAAATTGATGGATTGTGCATAGGTATATGTAGAGCCAACATGCAGTGGCTTCAGTGATGGAACTGGACTCTGAGGGATGAAAGTCCAAATCTCTGATCAACAATGGAAATTTTATGGATGACTTTGGGCACGTCAAGTAGAATGGATGTTGTGAGGCAAAAAGCAAATTGATGGATTCTTGCATATTTTTCCTGACTCATTCAGGATAGAATTCTCCCATTTCAGATGGAAGTTGTCAGTTTAGCTTATCTGCAAATTAGGTGCTTTATTTTCATTCAGAGTTCCTGCAGGAAAAGGGTGGGGAGCCTTTGGCCCTCCAGATGTTTAGCATTTCTAATGGCAATAATTCTTGCTATTAGACATATTGGCTGGTGCATTGGAACGTGAAATGCAAAACTCCTGCACTGGACAAACTGTTTTGTTCCCCTCCTGTTTAAAATAACTATCTCACCTACAGAGGTGAAATGTACTTGATTTATTTTCCTTGAAAGAATTGTGTTCCTGCTATCAAATTTCATCAAAAGTGAAGGAAGAACAAAATACACTGTATCCAATATCACAAATAATTGTTCAGCCAACATTGCCAACATCATGGTGCCAGATGCTCAGGAAAAAATCCACATGTTGTTGTAATTTACAAAGGACACTTTGGCCTTATGCATTCTCTTAGATCACAAAGTATTTTAAGTAGCCCACCCTTCAAATAGTAAATAGTTTTAGAAATAGTTTTAACCATCCTTTACTTATTGATTTTACATTTTATGTATTCATTTTAATGAGATTTTAACGAGCGACAAATTGCTTTCATAATTGTAATCTTTACTTCTATTTTAATATTTATATTTTAAAGGTTTTTTTAACTGTATAGTTTTTAAGGATGTCAGCTGCTTTGAGTTTCATTCTTGGAATACAACTGGATATAAATATTACCATAGTAATAATAATTTATTAATACATTTGTGTGTTCTTACTATTAATTTGTAAAATATATAATCATCTCACACACAACTCTAAGATGAAAAAGGTGTGACATATAACCATCTTCTGCTGTTTAATCCAGCAATCCCCAAACCTTGGTCTTCTGGGTATTTTATATTTCATCTCCCAGAAGTCTCAGCAGACTTGATGAACAGATTGTTGTGAGATTTTAATAGGAGATGGATGATGGTAGGAAGCTGTAAGGATAAGGAGTAGCAGACATGGGAGGCTAGAGTGAATGAGGTGTGCCTGTGAAGTTACTTTTTCTGTAGCTAACCAAAATTTAATTGTATTGGCTTGATTTTATGACTCTTTGTTTCCAAGAGCCCACATGGCCAAGAAGAAGAGTCGCCTCTGCCTACATAGATATCCCTCCAAACCATCTGAACTGACAACAACAAAAACAACATCTTGACAATAAGGAGGCCTGTGACTCAAGCAGTATCATTGTTTGCCTCCTCCAGTATTGCTGGATGGAGAAGCCCTTATGTGAGTACAGCTTGTCTCTTATGCAGCTAAGAATGATATTCTAAAATGTGTCTGACAGTGCTGGCAAATTATAACCAATTTTCCTTTCAGGCAGTCCCCAAATTATGAACAACAAAGGTTCTGTAGGTTTGGTCTTAAGTTGAATTTGTATGTAAGCTGGAACAGATACATTTTTAGTGTAACTCCAGCTGTGTGCACGTGTGTGTGTATCTATCTATCTATCTATCTATCTATCTATCTATCTATCTACCTACCTACCTATCTACCTATCTTTGGATAACATAGGGAAGGGTGACCACTCTTGCGGTGTTTGTTCTGCTGTCTGTGTCCCTGTTTAGAAGGTATCACTTCACTTTCTGTCCATGCGATAACTGAATTTTGAAAAACTTAGCTTGTTGTGGAAACAAGAATTGGTGATAAAGCTTACATTGATACACCTCAGTCCACTAATGTCCAAGTTCCTGCAAGCCAAGTAATCCATCTATAGTAAAGGTTTCTCAGTGTCTCCAAAAGATAATACAAAAATTCCTTCAGTCCTCTGTTCATTAATGCCCAGGTTCCTGCAAGACAAGCACTCCATCTGCATGGAAGGTGTCTCAGGGCTCACCCAAACAGGGCAACGATTGCAGGAACTCCCGCAATAAAGGAGGAGCTGTCCAGACAAAGTTATGGACAGTCCCACATTAATTCGCTACAAACCAGGAA